TGCGATAATGGCCGAATGTATCGTAACCGGCCCGACGTTGCTGGCAGGTTGACCGTTTTGCTGCATTCTGGCAGGTTGACCTGCCTACTGCCATGAACTTGGCTCCGAAAAGAAAACTCTATCAAACCGATTCGATTCATTTTTCTTTCTTTTTATATTTAGCTTATTTTATTCACATTAATGATGATATACATTCACTCAAAACAGAAAATAACAAACACATCATTGTTATGTTTTAAAAAACAGCTTGAAAATCCAAAATCAAAGCAACATGAATCGTAACTTTTAGGTTAATAGCCAAGTAGGAGCTTTGAAGACAATTCGTTGACAGTATTCCGACTTCCAACACAGGCAGCTTAAGACAATCTGTATATGGCTTGATTTGCTGAGATGAAATATCAATCACCATGTAAATATCCGTGTGGCACGTCGATGTGCACACACGGAGAGTTTTGAAATAAAACTCCAAGTCTTTTGGTCAAATTTAGACTGAGATTGTTGTTGAGCACCCTTTGTGCTTTGTGATTTGTTCAAAGGATTTGCAGAATCCTTAGTTGTCAGCAGGGGTCAACTGACTTTCAACCTCCCAGGTGATAAGGGGAAGATGTGCTTGTTGTGGCACCTCTTTGATGGGTTGTTACAGGGTCTAAGGAAAGTCTTTTGTGTGTGCACGTCGACGTTCTACAAGGATATTTACATGTTGAATCAATATTGAATTGAGGTGAATGGGTGGAATGAAGTATTGATCAATTTTTGATTGATGTTTTGAAAGACTTCAAAAAATAACCTCTTCATCAAATTTAAACCCATAGACTTTGGGTTTCATGAGGGTCGAGTTTGGGCTACCGAACAGCCCAGTCTCTCAGCAACGCTGCCACAATTACTATACTAGTATCGGTATCTTCCAGTATAGTATCTTTTCTGGGAGTATAGTATTCAGATACTTAGTACCGGAATTCGATACTATACTCTCAGGTGCTGAAACACAGTATCCTGGATTTTGATACTGTATCTAGTACAGTATCGAAATCCAATACTATACCCGGTATCTGCCCAAAAAAGTATCGGGTATCCCCAGGTATCCACGGTATCCGCAGTATTGGCCCGTTTGGTCATGAGAGGCTGTGCAGAGCATGGACTCCGACCGGTGTAGAACTTAAAGCTCAACAAGAGCTTTACAGAGCTTAAAGAGGGATAATCTACTAATAAAGTATCTAGTAGAAGTTGCCTAAGACTGCCTCTTTGAAAGAATCAACACGGGGTTTTGCTGAATTCTTTGGGATAAGGCACCAGAGAAAGTTGTCTCAATACTTAATTCAAGTATTATTCCCGTGATTTTTAATTATAAAGAAATCTCAACACTATTGTAGTGTTATTCCAATTTGAACACAATAAAACACAATTTTAATTACTAGCAAAGCAACAATCACTTTGATTGTTATTCCAATGAAGACTTGTAGTCTTATCACACGTAAAGAAATCTCTCCTTTGATGTAAAGGGGCAATTTAGTGAACTTAGTACTGGTAAAGTAATTTAATAATGATTAAAAACACTCTAACAAAAGTATAAGATGAGTAAAAAGGGGAACAAAGGCCCGTAAAATCCTTAACAATAGTATATAACCCTCCAACAACCTTCAACAATGGTCAACAACCTCCAAAAAACCTTCAAAAACCGTCAAAATCAACAGAATATCCTCCAATGTAATCATATGATGTCATAAATATTATTGTTTGTAATGATTCAAGGCGTGAATTTGATTCATTGATGTAAATAAATGATGAACAGATCTGATTTTTTCCTAATATTCATAGCTGAAATCCATTTTTGGAATTACGAATTTTTTGTAAAGTTGTTCAATTTTGGATTACTATAGCTCATTTGATAGCCCTCGTGATTCTGATCATTTATCACCCCTATATCACCTATTTCTGATGTATGATGAATAAGTTATTGAGTTGTAAAGATTTCAAAAATAAAGTTTTGTCATGTAAATGTCACATGTAACCTCCAAATTCGAAATTCACTCCAGTTTCTTTGTTGCCTTATAACTTTTTCACTACTCCTCCGCTACTAATGATTTAAAGGTTGTACATTATGAAACCAATGATTTTGCGTCGAATGAACTATCACACACCAAATTCTGACAAGTTTTACCATATGTAATTAACTGAAAACTCCCATTTTTGATGAATTTTGACTATTTTCACGTCTAATAATGATTTTCCTTCTATCAAAAGATCATTCCACAGCACTCCAATCAATCACACAGCATTAAAATCCCTCTGAAAAACTTTTGGCGCAATCAATCCATCAATGACATCACTACACAGGAATTAATACCATAGTACCTTTCTTCGAAATTTCCCTTTCCTGAATAACTTTACACCTCCCTTATCAATCCTCGTGATTAAAGTTGCTGATGACTAATGTGATGCTTCTCTTTCACAATAAAACCTTCCTGAACCAATATCTCTTCTAATAATAAGCTAAAAACCATTTTCCAAAATTTCATACCCATATTTTCGAATTTTTCTCCAACTTTCTTAATATTCTTCTTATTCTTCCATTCTTTTCATAACAGTTTCCATTCCTAAAGATCCAAACTAAATATTCTTCTTCCTCAAATCTCCTCTTACTAATTCTCCTAATTTGATTTTCACTCTTTTACTATTTTTATTGATCTTTTCGAATTTTTCTTTACTCTTAAATGTTCTTATCAATTGCTTATGTAAATATATGATTTGAAAGATAATGAAATGAAGATTATAAATCAACTTTGATAGCCTTGATTACTAATAACTTCAATAATAATAGTGCCTTTGACCAAAAACTCGAATTTTCACATAATTTTTAAATTTTTTGCTTAAGTAGAGATCTTGCTCACCACACCGGAATCCATTGAATTCCACTAGTATATTACGTAACCAGTGGATGAAACCCTTCTGACTGTCAACAACTCAACCATCAGGAGCCACGCATGACACGCTGGCTCGCAAACCCCAGAGAATTGGCCAACTGGACCCCATATGTCAAAAAGTTGGCCAACTTGTGGTCCGATCCAATGGATGAAAACAACCAGATGGTGAGTTTTCATATCATAGAATCACAGCTTTCGAATCATGATTTGATTATTCACTTGATTGCTATCTTGCCAGTCGCTTTCCAACAAATCAAGTCCGAAACCTGCGAGTCCTATTCCAACTCCGAGTTCTGGGATGCCTTCGACTTCACATGGACCACCACCTCCCAAATCTTCTCAGACTCGCACTTTACCCCCACCACCTCCTTCTCCAAGTGCACGTCGAAGCACACGTTCTACATCTATACGTCAACGCTCTTCAAATTTAATTATACCCCCTTCAGACTCTCGTTGTTCTGTTTCTTCACGAGACAACTCTCCAGCCCAACAACCTACAAAAGCTGGGAAGCGTCGCCGCATCGAGATATCCCAATCCAAGGATGAGCCAGAAGATTGCTCAGATGCTCCTTTGCGAAAAAGACAAAGCACTTCGAAGTCGACCACGTCACAGAGACGCAAGAATACTGGTTCAAAAGAGAAAGAACCCTCTAAGAAATCAAATGTAAGTCATACCTTCATGATTACAGTGCATGTCTTCCATAATACTGACATTGATCTGTTTGTAGAAGTCGCAGAGCACTTCAATTGTTGAGTCTGAGGCCTCACCTCTGATCAAGAAAAGAAAAGTAGCAGTCAATTTGGCTCAAGACTCGGAAGACGAGCATATAAAAGTGAAGGCACCTAAAAAGGGTAAAAAGGGTGAAGACGAGGATGAACAAGATGAGAAATATGACAAAGTATGGGACTATTTTGAGCCACCTAAGCGTGGATCACAGGATGTTTAGTAGTTTTTCCTTTTTTATCTTTTATCTTTTTTCTTTTTCTCTATTAGCTGTTTTCTCTATCTTTTTTTTGCTATGTTCCACAGACTGACTATCTTACAATGACTCTGCAGGCACCTGATGGTCCTTGGAACACGTTCCCATGTAAGTGGTGTGGTGACGACGTACGTGGAGGTGGATGTTCCGGATCAAACCTTTACGCTCATAGAGATGGCTCAAAACAACCTATGAAATTGGGAAAACCGGGCTGCAAACAACGAGACGCGGCAGTTGCAGCTGGGTGTGTATTACCTAAAACCAACTTCAAGAAACGAGCAGCACTTGTCCGAGCAGCTGAGAAAGAAAAGTCCGGTCAACTCAAAATCGAGTCCTTTATGAACAAGCAATCCGGTTTTTCAAACTCGGTATTGAATCAAATGATGGCCTTTTGGGTTATCCGAACATCCCAACCTTGGCTCCAAATGCAAGACGAATACCTTTGAGCATGCTTCCGATACGCCAATCCTCAAGCTCAGCTCTTCGGTCAAACTTGGGTAGCCCGTTATGCCCACAAGGTCTATGTTGGCATGCGAACCTCGGTAATAACCGAACTACAAGTAAGTACATGTTATTATCTCTCTTTCCATACTTCATGATACTGATTTCTCCAATGACAATCACAATGTTTGCATTTTAGGATCTAGACTCGAAGTTTGGACTTGTCCACGATGCTTGGACTTCACCGCGCAATTGTTATGGATTCATCTCAGCATCCGTTACCTACATTAATAAGGAGTGGAAATATGTCACGCGCCATCTTACAATGAAGATGCTTGCGTGGCATCATAAAGGAGAGTGGTTGGCCGAGCCTCTCATAAATGTGCTTGTCAAACACAAATTATACACTAAGATGAGTTTATTTTTCATTTGTTATTTGTTTCTTACTTTTCGTATATCTTTTTCAAAATCTTAACTGACATCAGATTCTTTACAAATCTTACATGCTATCTCAGATGCACGATTCCGGCAGTAATAACAACACTTGCGCTCGGGCAATGCATGCTCGCCTCTTGAACGCATGTGTGGACGATCTCGAGGTCGTTGATTGGGACCCAGCTACTGATCGAGTCAGATGTGCAGCTCACAAAGTTGCTCTGATTGTCAATGCAGGACTTCAGGCGCTTGGGATTCAGGCTCCACCTCCACCTCTTGTCAAGTCAAGCATCCTTGGCGATTTCCCTCTAGCTGAACATACGATGCCAACAATTGTTGGAGAAGATGAGTCAGAAATCGTCGATAATACACCAAAGCGAATTGAGTTAGGAGAAGATGAAGACAAAGACAATGAAGAAGAAGAAGAAAATGATTTTGGTGATAGACAGGGGACTGCTGTGGGAGATGCTTGGTACGAGGTCATTGATGGACCATTTGCCGATCCTCCAGCAACTAATCGTAACGAGGCAAATTCAGTTCATCAACTGGCGGTGCAAGTGAGTGAAATCAACATTTTTTATGATGAAGAGAAGTAACTGATGGTACCTAATGGTTTTCAACAGCTTGATGAAATAGCCCGGAAGATCGGAGGATCCTTGAGGATGTTGTGTGTGTTTGACGCTACTTGTAAAAGTATGAAGGTCAATTTTCCACGTCCGATTCCCGGCTATGGAATACTCTGGAACATCAAGGTGCAATGTTGGGGAAGGTTATACCAAGCTCAAGAGGTAAGTCATCCTTTTTGAGCTTACCTCAATGATTTTTTGCTTATATTATCCATCCATATGTTACAGGTCATCAATAGGATGCTTAAAGAAGACCAGATTGAAGTTGAGAAAGGGAAAAAAAAGAATAAGAGCAACGGCAATGCTCCGTCTGATCCTTACAATAATTGACTTTGGGGCATTTTCAACAAAGTACTGATCACGCCTGACCATTGGAAGCAGATCAACCAATTGATCAAGATCCTTTGAGTGAGTAACTAATTCTATAACATATCATTCATGCTAACTAACCACTTTGAAATTGTTCCATAGGAGTTTGAAACCCTCACCAAATTATTTGAAACCGATGGACCTACTGGATCCATGGTCATCCGCGAGTACGTCAAATTGAAGACATCACTCCAAGGCAAGATTGATTCATGTGAATCACGAGTCAATGCTCTGTTCCCGATGTATCATGCAATGCATGTGCACGTGTTGGCTTATCTTGCCGAAGCCCTGGAATCCAACGTCTTGATCTTGGCAACCGTCCTCCATCCATTGTTCCGGCTTGATTTCTTTCAGTGGGCATTTGGCGCCAGATCAACCGAATTCAACAAAGCTCGAACCTTACTCAAAACAACTTTCAATAAAGAAAAAGCTAAACAAGCAGCCAAAAGCGTAAACAATGCATCTCATATAAATGAAGATGAGGCTGACAAGATTGAGGATGATGGATTTCGTGCTCATAAGAAGAAGCACCAGAAACGAACTGAAAATGAATTGCGGGGTTGGTTTGAGGGTGCAGATGAGCCTGGACCTGAAGTGGAGAAGGACCCTTGGCTTGCTCTAGATTGGTGGAAGGTAGATTGATTCATCTCCTTTCCATCTTATTGAAAGGTCACTGACTTTTGTTTCCTTCAATTGCTCAAGGTCAATCAGGGGAGGTACCCGGTCTTGTCCTTGATGGCAAGGAACTATCTTGCAGTAAGTGGAGGATTGTGTGCAGTAGAGAGAACTTTCTCCACTGCTGCTGATGTCTGTTGCCGAGACCGAGGCGCACTTAAACCTTCAACTGTGGAACGATCTGTGTCAGCTCGTATGTGGTCAAAAGATGGTATATTCATTCAAGGCGATGAACTTGAGCAGGCACAAAGGTCAATGACTGAATGCATTGCTTTGGATAAATTGCATAGACAGCGGCAAGGTGGTTGACAACATGTGCAACGGGGTCTTTTTTTTCTTTACTGTCTTGGTTTTTTATGGTTTCTTGTTTTCTTATTTCTCTACTGTCTTTACCAAGAATAGTTTTCAGTTTTTTTACACAGGTAGGTAATTCACACTTTGATTTGACCGGCATCAGACGCAAGATACCAATACGATACTAGTATAGTATTGGTATCTAACGGTATCTGCAGTGAGTGGCAATACCCAATACAGTATCGGTATTGTGTGAGTATCCAATACTATACTGGGACCTAAGGGGTTTTAGGTATCCTGACTTTTGATACTGTATCGGGTATAGTATCGTGAGACAATACTATACTCGATACGCACACTTTGCAGTATCGTGATATCAATACTATACTGGGTATCTGCAATACTATACTAGTATAGTATTCGTGGCAGCGTTGCTCTCAGTCAACCTGTGAGGCAGACCTTGTCAACCTGTGCATGCGCGAGCATATGCTTGCAAGGCGTACACCTGCGAGGTTGACGGCAACCAATCGGGCCCTCAGGAGCTGACACAAAGGCATAGAAAAAGGTCTACTATGGGGCAGCCTAAAAAGTATTACAGATCAGATCCTAAAGGGAGAGGTGGATGGGACAATCAATGAGATAATTGTAAATAAGATAATCTCAAAATTTGGAGAATGCTTTTCAGAGGAGTAATGTTAATTCTTTGAGGTAATCACGGGATACAAAGCAGAATCTGGGCATGTGCCTGGCCTTGTGCCCAGATTTTTTTTTGGCAGTAAATTTGAATTCTGGGGCCGGACTTCTGTCCAGAAAATCAAAATTTACTGCCAAGATAATTCCAGGCATGTGCCCAGATTCCACTTTGTATCCCACAAATGAAGAATAAAAAGTGGGAAAAACCAAATTTCATGATCATCCACTGATTATATAAAGTAATCATCCTGATGGTAAAGAGCATCATCATTGTGAAATGGTATTGATATAATTTTGAAAAGGTGAAGACTCAGAGCACAGCAAGTGTGAATATCACATGTCACAATGGCTAACCCATTGTTTGTTGATGTGATCTCACTTGGTGTCTGCAAACTATTCTTGTATCTAGATTTATGTTGTGGGTGCGGCACAAAAAGCATGAAAAAGTTGCGCCTCAAAACTCCAAAATTTGTAGGAGCGCACCCCATAGGTAGTCTGTGGGGTTTTGTCAGTTTAGTCCCCCATCTCAATCAGAAATTTCTGGAGATGACATTGAGCAGTGTACTTCATTGTAATATTGAGATATTTGCCCAGCAGTTTTCCTGGCTCCAGGGTGTTGTCACTTGACAGAGTCTTGTCTAAAAGATGTAAGCAAGTCACTGTAAGATTTTGATGCGTATAAATTCAGTCAACTTCCTCTGATTGTGATATTTTTTGGAATCTCTGGCAGTTTTAATACTGGCCTCTGCGGATGTGGAAGATTTTCTTGCTTTTTATTCTACTTGTTTTTGAGAAAAGGGCGCGCCTGAAGCGCCCCAGTGGCCCCCGCGTCCTCCCGATGAAGCCTGCCTGCGCCTGTGCGCGCCCACACCATGAATCTAGAAGCTGGCTCATACAAGTGCCCATTGCAGATTGAGAAGAATTAGATAAACCATCTTATTCCTCCTTCCTTTCTTTCTTTCTTACGTTCATCTAAACAAACATTCATAGTACATACACACTTCATCATGGCATCTTCATCTTCATCATCTTCACCATACTCATCATTACCTGTAGCATACTCGTAAGCTCATTTCAAGTTATTTTTCTATCACCTTCACTTCACTGATCTTCAACTGACTTCTTTCTCATTTAGCGCAGAATCAACGAACCCTTTATTAGCCTTTCAGCCTGCCTTCACATATTCAATGCCAACTCAACTTTTGATTCATGGAATGGTCATCACTCTCACCGCAATTCTGGCTCTTCATCTACTCTTTACAGCGAAATATCACTATCCGCTAGCTCGGCTTAACTTTCTCCTTTTGTTATCTGCTGTCCTTCTGACGATGATCAGTACGGTCGTAGTGGTAGTCATGATCAATCACGCACTCTTCAATCGATCTAGATATTGGCCTTTTATGTTTGATTATGTCGAAGTGACTATGCCTCCTCCTGATTGGGACACTATTGCTCTCGTTGGTTGGTTTATGATGCAAAGTGCTGTGACCTTTTTGGCTCATGTAAGATCTTTTCTCGATCTCTACGTTCTGGCTCAGTAAATTGAAGATTACATTCATTGACTTACCACTTCTCTCGTTCACTTACTTCACCACAACTTTGATTGATTCGACTCTCAACTACGCAAAATCATCGAATACATTTATCTATACTCACACACAGGCCACTCATATTCAATTTCTTACCCTCCTCTTTCCATCGTCACTTGAACGAAAACTCATCATAGCCTTCTTAGGACCACTCTGTGTATTCGCCTCAGCCATGTATTTTACCAACTTTCTACCGGATCCAAACATGCAGGATCTAGGTGATGCGATCAGGAATACGGCTACTTCAACTTTATCTTTACTTTATACTTCAGGATTATTGATTTGGGGATGTGCAGTGAATCGAAAACGAGCATGGGATCAAGAAGGTGGTACGTTTGGTTTTGGAGTGATTTCCATCACCTTGGCATTTATTGGAACAGCTACGAATTTTGTTGAAGTGAAAGAGGATCGATTGAGATGGTTACCTTGGTTGGTGAATACAGTTTTACTTTGGCAATCTTGGACGGGATTTTGGTGGTGGGTTGGAGCTGGGATGTGGACAGGTGAAGTGGTTGATTTGGAAATGAGAGAAGAGAGACAAAGGAGAAGAGAAGAGAAGAGGATAAAGAAAAAGGCAAAGATGTTGAATATCTTGATACCTAAATCTCAATCAAATCTCGCCGTTGGCACTCGAGCTGATCCGACTAGTACGGCTGATAATGGTCCTAAAGTCAACAGCAGTCCGATCTCCTCACGCACATCTGTCTTCTCGACAAGACGTAGACGTCGAGGTTTGGGTACTGATCATACCAGGACCAATGAAGATAGCGAGATCGAGATGGACAATCTTGAGCTTACTAGAGTCGATTCTCGAAATCCGAATGCAGCCTCATCATCAGTTCCTCAACGAACACATACAGCTCCAACGGAGATCTCATCCTCATCACCATCTAACGATAGCAGTCATGGAATCCTCTCAGCATTCAATATGCCTGATTTTATTGATCGTTGGTTTGGAAGGCTCAGTGCAGCACACAATGCAGCAGCCAAAAAACAAGCCAGGACAGCAGGGGAGATGAGACAGACTGAACAAGTGAAGAAGTGGGGGATTGGAGCGATGACCGAACGAGTGATTAGCGAACAATCTAGAAGGTCTTCAGCCGTACCTAATTTATCAGGTCATTCACGAAGTTCGAGAGCAGCAAGGGAGAAAGAAGATGAGGACGAGGAAGAAGATGAGGATGGATGGATCAGTGATCGAGAACGAGAAGCTGGACCTAGTGGTAGCTGTCATCAGCAGAGGATAGAACACCGACAAGGGTTTGGAGATCCTCCTGATCTAGACGAAGAAAGACGAAATCGAAATCGAAATCGATCCGAATCAAAATCTTGGAAAGATAGATTAATGAAAGCTAGGTTAAGGGATGTGACACATTATGATTGAAATTTCAAACCAATCTGATCTGAAGAATGTTGATCTTTTAACAATTTCTTTTTTTCTTTTGCCCTTCTTCTTTTTGTATGTGATGATCTTAGGAAAGTTCTCTGTTCAAAAATTCTTTTTTTTTTCTTTCAAAAAAGTTCAAAGTGATTATCTTTTACATCATATTCAAAACAATTAACCTTTTTTGGATTTTAAGATCAAGATCATGGTATGTAGTTTGTAATTATCTGTTTGTTTTGCTTTAGTTATATCTAGATTAGTATATATATATATTATATATATATTATATATGAATTATCACATGCTTTGTATAAGTTTATATTTTGAGGACATGATTTGTTGATTATCATAAATTGTTTGATATAGACCTGATTAGTTTATGATTGATTGATTGATTGATGTGAAGTAAGGGTGAATCAAGATTGTTGTAATAAATAGGAATAGTGTTGGATGAGTCATGATGTATTGCGCAATAATCAAAGTGTACAAGAGATTTATCAACCAGAAGGTACAGTCAATCTCACAAAGCTTGACGAGAGTTCCAAGCCAAATCACTTGGATTTTGCGGGCAAACCTCAGTCAACATTTTTGAAATCGACTGTATATAAAAGTCATTCGGATGATTTCAGTTTTACATTTTCATCATTCTTCAAACTTGAACTCATGAGGACTAGAACACCTCTGAAAACCGACGCATCCAGCTCTCTCATCACTCGCTAAGTTATGGATCAAAGTCACTTCTAATCGAAATTGTGTGTGTGAATTCAATTATGTAGCCTATTTCTCATTAGACAACTTGAGCAATATACCAACATCAAGACTCTGCACACAGATATACATGGTGACGGATCGAATTTACGTAGCTGTGAGCTGCTGTGAGCTGTGTATGTTTGGGCTATTAAAGCCCTTCAATTTCTGAGTCAGCACGGCGAAAGAATAGATTACATACATAAACAAGTTTGATGAGAGTCTTTCATTGAGATCAGCTTTGAATTGACAATGTAGAAAGAGCTGCGGCTCTGATGATATATTTTTTCAGTAATGAGCAGGATCGCATGTAACGACTGAGATGGATGGAGTTTTCTTCAAGTATTTGTGAATGTGTTCATACTTTGAAATTTGAAGCTATGTATTAGTACAATTGTGGCCGGCTAAAAGGACAGTTGTGAATGTGAAAAAGTGAAAGTGAAAGTGAAGTAGGGTTTAAATTACAGTTTAAGCACAGCTTTGAGATTCCGAATCTGAGTTTGAATCGACTGGTTAAGCTTGATGAGACAAGTGAGAGGGAGATAGGATGAGGTAGTGTTAGAATGAGATGGGTAACTAAGGTAGAAATCAAAGACAAAAGAAGTGATGACGAAGTGGATGATGAAAGTGAAGAAGGAGAAGTTGAAAGGGGTGAGATAGTTCTTATATATAGTGAAGTGATTCGAATTCCCAACTAGCCATCATCATCATCCTCATTATTATTCGCAACTTGAGTCTTGAGTCTTGAGTCTAGTCTTCAATCCAATCCAATCCAATCCAATCCAATCAGCAGCAGCAATAGTCTTGTTTTAATTAAACCGAGAACAAGTTTTCAGTTGAAATTTGAAAAAAAAAAAACCAAAAGAGTGATGAACCAATATTCAAGTCTTCAATCATCCTCATTACCATATCAACAACATCCAATTCAATCAGCTCAAACTCATCATCAACTAAACTCACTTCATTCAAATTCAGATTCAGATTCAGAACAAGAACAAGAACAAGAACAAGAACAAGAACAAGAGGAGGAAGACGACAGTGAATACTATAGACCATCCAATCGATCTTCTACTACTCTTAAACTAATCGAAACTAACTCATCAATCAAACCAGAAGATTCAATCAGTCAAACTCATCATCAATCTCCTCATTTACCCATGTCAAGCTTTGGTACTCATCAACACTATAGACAACCAAGTGATGAGACTATCACTTATCCTCATCCTTCTGCTTCTTCTTCAATAAAACCGTATCATCCTCAAGATCTTCCATCTCATCATCCTAGATATTATCATCAAGATTCATCTGATGATTCATTAGATCATCAAACAATAGCTGAATCTTCTTATTTACCTATCCATCCTAAATCAAATCAATATCAGCATTCAAGGAGATATGAAGAAGAAGATGATTATGGAAATGAAAAGTTAAACAAACATGATTCGATTCAAAACATACCAAACCAATTCGATCTAGAAGGATCAAATCATCCATCAAATCATAAATATCCACCAGCTGATTTAAATCAAAATCTTTTAAACAATCAACAACATGGTCGAAATCCTTCATTTGTTAGACCATCGGTTTGGAAACGAATCTTTTGGGATACGAGTCCAATCGAAATGAGAATTTGGAATCATCAACAAGGTATTGGAATTCAAGAAAGAGCTTATGTTTGTTATCTTTTAGCTTTGGGAATGTTGATTGCTTTAATTCTAGAACTTGTCACCAATGTAATCAATCTCTCTCTCTCTCTCTCTCATTTCAACATATTCAATCTATTAACTGATTTTTTGCTTATTTACAAACAGGCCAAGTATCAAGGTACACCAATCGCTACAAAACCTAGTTTCAATTATATGATTGGACCATCGGCTGAAATTCTCATCAACACGGGCGCTCGATTCACTCCTTGTTTGTTCGATTTCTCTCATTCTCTGACTTAGTCGTTTGCTCATCATTCAATGGATCCTTTTCTAGGTATCAAATACGTTCCTGGGGTTTCAACTATCTCATTTCCTTGTCTTAATGATACATCAAGCCTACCGACTTGTTCTATGCCACTTGAGGAAGTTTGTGGGTTTGGTGGGTTCAAGACCCCTGGTCAACCTGATCAAACATTCAGGTTTAGTTACTTTTTCATTCACCTTTTCTATCATCCTCAATTTAAACTGACAAACTCGCCTGTATCATCATAATTACCGATAGATTTGTAAGTTTCTTATATCTAATCATTCAAATTAACAAACTAACTCAACCTCAACATCATCAATAGATCCTACCCATGTTCTTACACGCAGGAGTGATTCATTATGCGATCAATATCTTAGTCCAAATGACCTCATCAGCCTTGATCGAAAGACAAATGGGATCCATTCGATTCTTATTACTTTATATTCCATCTGGAATCTTTGGTTTTATTTTAGGTGGCAACTTCTCATTAGTTGGACAACCAAGTGTAGGAGCTTCTGGTGCAATCTTTTCTACACATGCGGCTGTCTTGGTAGATTTAGTGGCTCATTGGTCAATTGAAGATAGACCAGCTAGAAAGGTAAATTCGATCTTTGCCCTTTGATCTTTCACATTTCCATAGAAACAAAAATTGATATTGGATAATGTATGTGAAAACTAGTTATTCTTTTTATTATTTGAGATTATAGCAGGATTGGCATTAGGATTAATTCCAGGAATTGATAATTTTTCACATTTAGGTGGATTTGCAATGGGTTTATTATTATCTTTAATTTTATTTCCAGTTTTACATCAAACTAAACTTCATCGAATTAGTTTTTATACGATGAGATTGGTTTGTTTGTTAGGTTCAATCTTGATGTTTTCATTACTTTATCGAAATTTCTTTACAGATGATCCGGCTGCTAGTTGTAGTTGGTGTAGATATTTGAGTTGTTGGCCTACACAAGCAAACAATGTAAGTTGATTTCTTTTTCTTTTTTCTTTTTTCTTTTTCTTTTGAGTGGTTAGGTCTGACTTTGATGAATGGGTTTGATTAGAGATGTAAAGGAACTGGATTAGGAATGACCGAGATCACGACGACTTCACCTAATAATTCGTTGAATGGATGGCCAGTTTTGTTATTTTTGGCCATTGGTCCTAAATTGATTTTGAAATGGATTTCAAATCAATCATTCTTTCGATTTAGATCAACATGAAATCAGGAGATATTCTTTCTTTTCAAATCGTGGAAAAGAATTCGATCAAGTTAAACTTTATTTAAATTGCTTTTTTTCTTTTCAAACTCGTTCTTTATCTTCATTTTTTTTCTCGTTACTTGAAGTACATTTTTATTTGGTTTGAAGTATATATTTATATATTAAACATTAGATCACCAGTTTTACCTAAAATAAACAAGACGAAATTAAGAACTACTACTACCACACACATACAACTTATACTCTCATTTTTTTTACAATTTCTTTTTTGATGAATTGGAAGAATTGAATTGTATATTTTCTTTTCTCTCTTTTGGACTTAGGGGTTTTTTTCATTGGAATAGGTCTGGGATCTAATGAAGAATAGTAAGAAGAATCATCATCATCTGTAACATAGAAGATCATCATTCTATATATAAATATATATCATTAAAAAATTAATATCTTGTATTTATTTCAATTTTTTTTTTATCATCTTTGAATTACATGGGAAATTATCATTTGATTGAATTTCTGCAGGTACTGGAAGTTTGAATGGGTGAGGTTTTTTGGGGGTTTGGATGCTTGGTGAATGAGAGAGGGAGATTTTCATGTAGGAAGAAAGGTGTTGAGTGAAATTGAGATTCAGACTCCAGAGACAGATTAAATGAAAGTTTATTCATGTTTATTGAAGTTGGAGTTAGAGTTGATTAAATTTGTGGAGATCATCTTAGTTTCTTTTCTGATTGGATTTTTCTTCATTGTTTAGTTTTAGGATTCTGAAAGTGAGGTTTGATCAAGACTAATCAAAGTAAGAGTGTTGCTAGGGGATGCTCATTGGAGTGACTCACAAAAAGAGGATTGAGTCCAGAGACTCCATAGACCTGAGGGATCCAGAACTCACTCAGGGTCAACCAGGGCCAGAACATGAGTGTTTCTGGGGAACATTGAGAATGTTCCTTATCTACAGTGGAAACTATGTTCCAACACCCCTTCTGTCCAATGATTTTCACATGGCACCCTCACTGCCAACATTTTTACCTTGGATATCTCAATTCCGAGGTATGCTTGGGTCCAAACCCTCAGACAGTGTTCTTGTGTGAGGATTTGATCTGAGTCATTTCATGGCACATAAGATTTCCTTGGATTGAAACCTTGGACATGAGGATTGATCCAATGATGCCTTGGATTTTTCAACCCAAGGCAAATATGTTGGCAGTGCCTGGGATGTCATGTGTATTGTCATACATCTCTACTTGTATCTGGTTTCTGCTGGTGTAGTGATTGCACACATCCTTCCTATATAATCATTGTAAAACATCTGAAATCTTGAATTGTACACATCTTATACATATCACTTGATTCCAAGTGCCACCAACATGGGGTACCATCATCTTAGTTCCTCACTATGCTAGATTCTATGAATGGTGAAGATGTGTTTTGATTTGTCTGAGTTACCAGTGATTTTATGGAAAATTTATCAAGCTTTATTAAGAGTCAACAAAGACAACACAACATAGCCAAATCTCAATATGACCTTGCTTGAACCTATGATTTTGCTATTTTCCACCAGTGAACCAAACTTGTAGGCACTACTGCAAAAAGAACCTAAATTTCTAGGCGCTCAGAAAAACATCTACATTGCAGGTACTGACACCAAAATCTGCAATGTAGGCCCTTGAATCCTTTTCAGGAAGGATAATGATGGAGGATGGAAAAACTGTTGAATTGGTGTTCACTTCTTTGGTTCATTTTATTTCTGAGGTCTTGATTTTTTTGATATCTTTCACTTATTTGTAAGATGTTCTTAAATACATATACATATACTTTTTTGAAATACACTAATTTCCACTCAGAGTCAAATGTGGTTTTCCTATCCCTCTTTATCCTTTCTACAACTCAAAATAGTCTTTTTGTTCTCTTTTATCCTTTCTGAAAGACAAGATAGTCTTTCTGTCCTCCAATATCCTTTCTGCAACTCCAAAAATGTTCTTGTCATAGGTGAAGAGGTGTTGCAACTGGTTGGCAAAAGCCATTCTTGGGTTTTAGGTGCTGCATCATACCCCCAAAAAAATGTAGGCACTCTTTTCAAGGGCCTACATTCTAAAAAAAGGTTGTAGGCACCTACATTCAAAGATCCCATAAGTTTGGATGGGAATTGAATGTAGGTGGTTTCTTTTACCACCTACATTCAATCTTTCAAACATGTTGGTGTTTTTTGGACCATACACATACAAGTTTGGTTTGTGGGCGGACAATGGCAAAATCTTTGACCTATAGTACCTGGCACATAGAATAAGTTCTTCATTTGTCTTGTTGTATTTTATTCTATTTCATCAGTATCAGAACATCTCAAAGTAGATTGCTTCTTACATGAGGCACAATAGGGGTTGGGCGAAGCGCTGCAATAATTCAATTCAAGTTTGACCGACAGAGGATTCCGCCACAGGAATACCATGGAAGTCACCCAAAGGGTTGGAGCCAGAGATATCACAGATTTTGGCCGAGGCCAGCTGCCCCGGTCTCTCCCAACTTTTTAATCACTCGGAGCCCGTGCAGAGTCGACTGACCAAGGGAAACATCCTGATCATCCGCTGAACAGGGCCTTAAAGCGGTGAGTCCATTCGACTTCTTCAACATTAATTTTTATCCTAACACTGCCAATTTCTTTTCATGTGGCCTGATCATAATAACTGCTTTCTTTTGATTTAGATAGCCGCACCAATTGCTGAGATGTAAGTCATCCATCTATGATCTCCGTGCCAATTGGCTGATATCTCTTGAGTGCCTTAGGCCTTTCCAGCGTCTCTCTTGCAAAGGCTTATACCAATCGAGTTCAAGCTCCAACGAACCCATGCGGATACTATGCTTTTGAATGGTGGCGAACTTTGCATCTCGGGCACGGATTGCTCGCCTGCTCGAAGAGGATGTTCCGCGTCGACACATCTCATACGATGCCCATCCGCGTGTTGACGTTGCAACATGGACACCGCGGGTTTGTTACATGACGGCTCAATTCTGGCCGAACGAAATCATTGCGCTGCATCAACGACTCAGATTCCCTCAGTCCGTTTCTCTAGACAACGGCTGCATCGAAACGGGCCTCACCGCACTGGCGATGTTGTTAGAACACTGTCATGCCTTGAAATTTCAGGCGGTTACCACTCCAGAGTAAGTTCTTGGCCATTCCTTGGGCTTTCAGCAGCTGTTCTGTTTGCGGATGAAGTTTCAATTTCAAATCGGCTTGCCATCGACTCACTCAAATTTGTTTCATCTGAAACAGTATCCCGACCCATAGTTGGGAAGTTTTTGCACCTTGCGAGGTTCTACCGCCAATGTGCTAGAATGAACCCATTTCGAACCATGAAATTCAAAGACGTTTGCATCACACTCACTTACTACCCCTTCATGATGCAAGAATCTCAGAAGGCTATCAAAGAGTTATTCTTCCTTCACTGTTGAATTTTTTCTCCTAAAGTCATGTCCTTCCTTCATTGTCTGTCTCTTTCTTTTAAAGCTTAAAAGGAAGCAAGGTAAATTCTTTCATCATATAACCTCTTCTGAAACACAAAAGAAGATTAACTTATGTTTATGATGTATCTTTTTTTCTAGAATGCTACGACTTCTGAAGTTCCAGATAGTACTGAAGTAAAGAAAATCGAAAAGAAAAAGAGTGGTACTGTTAAATCTACTTAAGAACTACTCTCACCTTTCTTCTCTTAATTATCTTTTACTTCCTTTTCTCTCTTTTCTCTCGCTCATCTTTTGTGTGAGTGTGAGTGTGTGTTGTTGATTTTTTCATGAATTTCATCTGAAGTGGTCTAAACAATTCAAAAATGTTAAAATCAATTGTTTGAAGATTTCAGTTTGAATGTGATGGTTTATGCTGAAGTACATTGTTATGAAGGACAACAATGAAGAAAAGAAATGCAACTGGTGCTGTGTGATTAAATGTTCTGTTCCGTCCTATATATCAGTCAAAGGTAACGTCAGACTAGCACACACAAGCTACCAAGACCGAATAAAAAAACTCACCCATGAGGTTGTCCACGCACATAAGGGTGCCACTTGCCAATGTGGAAACCGACCAGCCTTCGAATAGAGAATTGGCCCATGGTACCCAAACAGGTTAATCCGGATGAGGACGAAAAGCCAGATGGACAAGCATCGGCAAACGTCCTCATCGGGTTCCCCCGCAGAAGCCACCACGGGCACCACCGGGGCCTCAGTTCCATCTGTGAAAGGTGCCAGAGGCTAACCCTGGCTAACCTCTAGTAGTCGACCAGAGGCTTTTGGCTGGCGAGTAGAGGGAATATTTGAACAGACAGGGCAACCGATGGTCGGCCAGCGTGCTGCGCCACCCTATTTTTTTTTGGTGCAATAAAGTGGATCAAAAAAATAGGGATTTTTGATATTGTTTCCACCCAATTCAACAGTGGCTGAATTGAGTGCCAGTGAGATTCAACTACAGTTGAATGGAGTTATTGCAGCGCGTCGCCCAACCCCTAATGTGTGAGATATGTCCATGAGGGTGGTAACTTCAAGAAGACTTGGGAGATAGGATCCCCGAGATGAGGAAAGGAATCCTTGTTCTAGACTACATAGAAAAAGACTAGACCAAGGACCTTTTGGGTTTTAGATGACAACATGTCCCAATGCGTCTCCATGGGATGAGGTACTCTTGTAACTCTGCCTCCATTAAAGAGGTGGGAGCCCTATAAGGTAGAGACTCCCCCAGGCATCTAACACTCTTGTTCCCCGGTCGTATTATCTCTTTCAAGTCTTCTCTAATCTGATTTTAATCCCATCATCAACTATCAACTGATCTCAATAGTCTAAGATTTCTTACATTTAGTTTTTCACTTTACGAAAATCAGACATCTTTTCTTTGAAACCTATATACAATTATCCTTAATCATCAAATCTCCTTATACACATAATCAATCTAAGTCATTAAGATTCAGTCTAAATCATTCAGATTACAACAAACTCCAACCTTTAACCTATCTTTTCTATTTGACACTTCACTCCCACCTTATTTCAAACACCCATTTTAATCCTTGTCAAACTTATCTACCTCCTACCATGTCAACTGCTGAGCTAAGAGCGATACGAGCAGCGAGAAGAGTCAGAGGCAAAGTACCAGCGGAGGATGCTCAACCGGGTCTGGCAGCTCCAGCAAACCCAGCACGTTCAGTACAACCGGCATCTATCGACGGACAAGAACTGGGCCAAGACGGCCTAGCAGAAGGTGCGGAGGAGGATAGAAACACTGCTGAACGAGAAGAAGAGGAAGATGACCAAGGAGGACAAGTCAACGAAGCAATCGATCTAATCGGTGCTGAGTCCGACTCGCAAGATTCTCAAGAAGAACGACACACCAATGATGGTCGGTATGAGGAAGACGAAGATGAGGGAGGAGAAGGCAGAGGTGAAGAACAAGATGAACCAGATCACCCATCCGATTCCACTTCAGATTCTTCCGACTCATCCTCAGATAGCAGCGAAACTAGCTCGACATCATCAGAGGAAGGAAGTGACAAAGATAGTTCTGATTCAAACTCTTCATCTTCAGGTAAGTTCGTGGTACCTTGAAGTGTTTTGCAGATATTCTTTTTCAATCTCTGCACCAGAAACAATTCCATCATATAGATAATAGAGAACCAACCTCGGTTAAGCACAATAACGCCTCATTCCCCATTATTCCCACACTAAGGATGAAATCCTTTAGTTCCCTTCCCACACTACACCCCACCAATTCATTAAAGACATAGTCTTTTAGTTTCCTTCCTATATTCTCCCGTAAGACGATGTTCCATTCCGTCGCAGTCTCCAGCTTCAAAATAGACAATGATTTTCTGTCATAATATCCAAAAATCTTGATCCCATGCATCAGTGATGAATTCCCGCTTCAATAATCCATGATATCCTCGCTTGGATGATGATAATTTATTGACCCAGAAAACCTTTCTGTTGTAATTTGGTCTTTTTAGACAGGGAAGCGAAAGCAAAGAGAGTGAAGAAACTCAAAGCGAAGTTGAAGAAAGCAAAAGCTAAGGTGTCGAAGAAGAAGGATAAGTCAAAGAAGGAACGTACAACTAAGAAGAAGCGAGACAAATCTGGTAGATCCGGATCAGAAAAGAAGTACAAGGAAAACGGGATACGCTTCGAACCAGAAGCAGACCCTACCTCTACTCTGGCTCACCTTTGACCTTACTGGTCGAACGCCCTAGATAAACTAACAGAACATATACCATTAACCGTATTATTTCAACCTTTTGTGAACAAAGATAGAGATGAAAGTCAGAAGAAGTAAGATTGAAGTCCCATTGTACTAAACAGCCTGAGTTCAATGAAACAAGGAAAGGCGAAAGACTAACAAATAACTTTTGTTAGCCAATCATCCTCTTCGAAGACATCTAGAAACAGAGGTTTAAACGCTCCATCAGAGTTTACCTTGAACTTTGGAGAATGGTTTGAAGGCATCAGACTATTACAAGAATATTCAGAACTGTATGGCTTTAAACGACTGGCCCAAGATTTAGAAGGACACGTTAAAAACGTTATGGATCTCAAGAAATCCTCTGAATGCTGGATGACGGCTTTGCGTTACAACATAGCTTTTAGAAAGGCCCTCTTCGGCCACAGAAAGAAAGGATCGGCAGTCAAGGGAGGAGGTACTTTAGTCCCAAATCTGGTCCAACAGGCAAAGGACAGATCAGCACGATTCCACGAGTCAAACTTCGGTGATTCAAACCCCTATGCGTTAGGAGGTAAACTTCAGTTCAAAGACCCTGAGACAGGAGAAAGGTTGTAGTGAGTCTAAAAACAAACTTAAGCATTTTTACCAGAAAGGACAAGAAAAACTGACCCAAATGTAACGGGAAAAAGCCAAGCAAATCAAACAGGGATGCAAGTGAATCCACAATTCGGAGACATCAATACGCTAAAACAAAGGAGAACCCCAAGGGACTACGGGGTACCTTTCAACAGCCAAATGACTACGAACCACCTTGGGATGAGACCAATCATCAGAATGCCTATGGCTCACAACCCAGCCCTTCCCCAAAGGCCTGCAACGGCTCCGATTGTTAGGGGAAACCAAAGTTTTAGAGGTGGTAGCGGTGGTAACCAAGGGAGAGGTGGACCATCAAGACCTAGACATGCAGGGTAAATTATCAGATACATGTATTTCCCCTGTCCCATTCATGTGCTATCATTGCCCTTTTCCATACTTGCAGACCAGAGACAATTTTTCCAATTTTTCCGACCGGTAACAGACTTATTTCATTAGCCATTCTTTATTATACACTTTCACTACTGTCGTTCCTATTGTTACTTGTCCTACAAACTTTTTGGAATATGAACGTTGAAACAACCTTTTTGCCAAAAATTTTACTTCTGCTTAAAGATCGAACGAAGTACCAATGCAAAGAGCAAGAACTACGCAGAACAAAATGCTGCATACTCTAAAACTGGGTTCCTCAATCTATGTGGAAAACCCAAGGTGAAACAGAGAACAACAAATTCCAGTAAGAGAAGAAATTGAAAAGCAGAGTGAACAGAAGAAACCACGGCCGAATAATGCGTCGTGCGAGATGAACATCAAGAAGTGGGAAGTTGAACTGAAATTGAAAGGCCTATTACCAAAGTATGATTTTGTATTAGAAGGTTTCCAAAATGGATTTCATCAAGGCATACCGGATCACAAGATTAATGGAATGGACCATTTTGTACCCGACAATCATCAGTCAGCTTTACTAGCCAGAGAAAAGATTGAATCAAATTTAGAAGACAAAGTAAGAGCAGGAAAAATGTTTGGACCGTTTGATTTGGAAACGGTAGCATCATATTTTTCGTTCTTCAGAACAAGTCCTCTGGGGGCAGTAGTAAATGGGGATGGGTCTTTTAGACCGATAAACAATCTATCATACCCGAAGAACGACAAATTAATTCCGAGTGTAAATTCATTCATAGACAAAAACGATTTTAAAACAAGCTGGGACAACTTTCAGAATGTATCAACTTTTATATCAGAATCAGAACTAGATTTACTTATAGCCTTATTCAACTGGGAAAAAGCTTATTGACAGATCCCAGTACATCCTTCACAGTGGCCTTATCTTTTAATATCAGATTTTAACAAGAAGATTTATGTTGACACCAGAATAACTTTTGGTGGAGTAGCTGGATGTGGAAGCTTTGGAGGTCCGGCGGATGCTTGGAAGGAACTGGTCAAAAGGCATTTCAATCTAGAGGAAGTTTTTAGGTGGGTAGACAACAATTTACTAGTTAAAAGGGCAAGTGAACCTTTGAGCATGGATGAAATAGTGAAATTCAGTTTAGAACTTGGAGTAAAAACAAATGAAACAAAATTTTCACACTTTAAAGAGGAACAAAAGTACATAGGATTCTTATGGAATACATCAAACAGAACTGTCAGATTACCAGAAAACAAATTAAAAGAAAGAATCAAACAACCAGAAGAATTTTTAGAAAAGAAAGATTTCACTTATAAAGATGTAGAAAAAATGAATGGGAAACTATGTCACGTAGCATACATAGCCCCCCAGTTAAGATGCTACCTACAAAATAACTATAGGTGGTTACGAGAATGGTTCAATAGATTTGCAAGAAGGAAGATGCCATTGTTGGTCTTGAATGACATGAGAGTGTGGCTAGCAGCTTTGAAGAATTTCCCGAAACTACATGTCATTAAAAAGAGAGAAGTAGAGGACATAGGCTGGGTAGGAGATGCGTCAACATCTTTCGGAATTGGAATCATCATTGGAGACCATTGGGCGCAATTCAACCTTCGAAATGGCTGGGAAACACCACAAGGAAAGCCAAAGCGTGGGATAGCTTGGTTGGAGACAGTGACAGTACGACTTGGACTCCTGGTGGTACAAAAGTTACGTAAGATAGGAGGAGCTTGGTTTAAGGTCTTAACAGACAATACAACAACAGAAGGAGTATTAAGAAACGAAAAATCTAGGGACTTTTGGGTAAATGAAGAGTGGAAAGAGATTACGAACATTCTGTTTACCAAAGACTGTCAATTAGAACAACAAAGAGTCGAAACGGAAAACAATGATGCAGACTTGTTTTCTAGGGGGTTAGATACGTCGCGAGCTTGGTTCATGCAGATTCATTTAGACATACCAGGAGACCTGTTACCCTGGCTAGAGGATTACGAAAGTGTAGGGCAAGGAACACACTTTTGAGAGACGAAAGACGTAAAAATCAGACGTAAGTTCTTTACACAACTGTCAATCAAGACAAATATAAAAGAAGAGAATGGAAGTTACTGACAAGAGAGTACTCCCAGGACATGTTAAATGGAGACATTGAATAAGATACCACATCAAAAAACATCATATAAGTACACAATTATAAAACTAAACAATTTCGCCTTCCATTGAATAAAAAGAATTCTATATCCCAAAAAGAAAACGGTTCAACCCACTCTACCCAAAATTTTTTCCAATTGTTCCTAAAAACACATCATCTGAAAAGAAAGGTGAGGAGTAAACCGATCTCGCATCAGCTGACTCATGAGCCAACAGTACTGATGCCATTCTCCGTCTTTGCTACTTATTCACGCAACAACTTCAGCACAAAAAAAAAATGAAAGATCTAGCACCCTTCCTATCTTTGAATAACAACATACCTCAACGCCTTTCTGGAACGCAACGCCACATGATTAGGGCGGGTTGGTCTCTTGCAACTGTTCAAACTTATGCGTCAGGAGTAAAGAAATTCAAAGTCTTCACAGCATCAAGGAACCGGCGAGCAATACCAGCCTCCAGCAAGACTGTAGAACTCTTCATCATCTGGGCCGGACACAACTTCAATACAAAAGCCACCAATAAACCAATAAAAGTAAAGACCATACAAAAGTACCTAACAGCACTGCGAACCTGGCACTCCTTCCATGGTTTCTTCTTCCCCGAAGTCCAACTAACTTGGCTAAAATCAATCTTAAGAGCTTGTGCAAAACTCGAGTTTCGAGCCCCTCCCCAAGAAAATTAACAAACAACGTCCAGTAGCACCTAAGGACTTGATCACTTTGATTGGCAACATAGCGGAACACAAAATCGACGCGAAGGGCTTGAAAGCACTAGTACTCACCGCCTATTGGGGCCTCGCACGTCTAGGAGAACTCGTATACAGCACAGCAACTTACAACCCCAAGATGGCAAAAGGAGTGCTAAAGTCGGACCTGACCTTTTTGTCCGTGGGTGGTGTCAAGATGGCTCGGATAGCTCTACAGGAAGCGAAGACTGCCGCACCAGGGGAACTCCAATACCTCTCTTTACGCGCGACCGGCAGGGTCCTGTGCCCGGTCGAGGCACTTAAACGTTTAGCGGCTTGCTTGGAGAGGGTCAAAGATCCACGCCTATTCATGACGTACGGGAAAGACAGAACCACTGTGATAACACGAGCTACCGTTGAAAGAAGTCTAAAACAGGCCTGGGGCTTGGCTTCTCACAAATCAGGCCATTTGTTCCGCATAGGTGGGGCAACTTTACTGACTAGAGCAGGTGTTGCCACAGAAGACATCAAGACTCTCGGGAGATGGACCTCCAGTTGCCATAAGTTGTACCAGCGAGAGTGGAGCGAGGGCCAGTGGGAAGCAGCTAAAAGGGTCCTACTTATTACTGGGGATACCATCCCAAGTTTTCCTTAAAACGTTGTGCTTGTGCTAAATGTTTGTGCCCTTCTATATGCAGTAATGGAGTACAATCGTATTTGGTTCTATCACCTTATTTAGTTACATCTCAAACGACTTGTTTGTTGGTTTTTACCTTGAGAGAGTGAAAACAGCTTCAAGCTGGGACCCAGTAGTGGGGCGACCCTGCCAGGCTCAGGACTGCCTCCCAGCCCAGAGAGTAGGGGTCGACAGGCCACACTCCCACTACCAGGAAAAGAAAGGGGTGATCTTGTCACACGAGAACGTCTCTCTAGCTACAAAGCCAAGAGAGACTCGCCTGTTACCCTTTCTCTGAAACTAACTTTTCGTGAGAGACTCTCCCTAGGAAAGCTCTACAAGAGGTTTTATGCCCATACTCTATGACATAGCAATTACCTTGATAGCTAATAGCTATAAGGTATATACTACCCTAGAAAGTAACTAAAAGAAGAGTTCACATAAGACAAAATGGACCATACTGTCAAATTCTTTGCTCTTATTTTCAACTACAGTATTCTTTGCATATGATATCCATGAGTATGTTGAAAGTGCTTTGTTCACAATTTCTGACTTTGATTTACTGGGATGATATATTCAAACAGTGGATGTCAGGATTGGATATATCTCCCAGTATACCTGTCAGGGTGTTCTTACACATTGGAGCCAGCACTTATGTATTTAGCAAGGTTCTTAGCTGTGTTTCAGGAACCTTTTTTAAGGAACATTCCCAAAGTTTCACAGAAACAACCATGCCCTCACCAGGGCACACCTTGAATGATTTATAGGTGAAAAATGTGGTAAAATTGTCATGATTTTGACCCATAATACCATTATATGTGTAACCAAATTTATTAATTTGAGACTATATCAGCCTACTTGGACCTTAAAAATAGCTATACCAAGCCTATGTTGACAGACCAAGATACATTTCTTGTGTTAATTGTGTAAAAAAACAACAGGAAGACAGGCAGACAGCTGGTGTTCCCACAAGGTGTTGTTGACTAGGCTCGAGTGTGACAGGGCACAGACTGTCAGCTTTAGAAAGCAGATTGGCCTGGCGGGCTAGGTCCAGGTTGTGGCTCTACTCCATATGTACCAAGGCTGGCCAGATTAAGTATGTATCTCACACTGTCTTCTTGCAACAATTTTTGTTCTAAAAAGTCACAATACAACATTTCCACCTTTTGTTCAGTGATAATTTTTTCCATTTCAATTCTTTGGGACTCTCTGAATCAGGCTCCAGACTTGACAATGTACACTTTTACATAAGCTTTACAAATTATACAACAAATCAGTGCAAGTTTGAGCAAGGAAGTATTCACAATCAAAACCAAAAGTACTGCACTTCCATGAATCATTGGTTTGTATATTGGGTAGCCTGTACTATACATCTGGCACAAACTAAAAAGTCCCAAACCTTGGTTAAAACTCATTAGCCCTGAGTACTAAACCAGAGTACCAATGGGCAACATAGTATCCTAAAAACCTTAAAAATAGCAATTACAACTCAAGGCTCAGTTTCAAGAGTCAAGTTACATATGATTTAGCATATGTAACATGTGCAGAACACATATCAAAGAGTGTGAACATACACAACTTTGATGCATACCAAAGCTATGTATATTTCACAGACATAACACCTATGTAACAAGTGAGATATACTTATAACTCATGTTGTGGGTGTGGCGCAAAAAGCGCGAAAAAGTTGCGCCCAGGTGCGGGCGCGCCTGGTAGCGCCCCAAATCTTCAAAATGTGTAGGGGCGCGCCCCATAGTTAGTCCGCGGGTTTTTGTCACCATCTCCATCAGAAATGCCTGAGGAGGAGTCGAGGACTCTGAGGAATGTCCTTCATCTTGGGATTGACATATTGGTCCAACAGTCTACCTCACTCTGAGCTGTTGTCACTTGACAGACAGAGTCTTGTCCAAAAGATGTAAGCACTTGCTGTAAGAGTTTCATGCGTATAGAGTTGCAGTTGACTTCCATTTACCGTGATATCTCTTGCAATCTACCTTGCAATCAATGACTAGAATTCTTTCATTGGAAACTATGTATCTGTTGGCCCTGTGATACTGGCCTCTGCTGATGCAGAAGATTTTTTACTTTTTTCTACTTTTTTGGGGCAAAGGGCGCGCCTGACCGGCCCTGCTGGCACCCGCGCCACTCCAATCAATTTTTTTTGCGCCTGGGCGCGCCCACAACATGACTTCTAACCCAGTAGTATCTGTGTTACTGTCATTAACCTAACCATAGAACCACAATTTGTGCACACTTGTATTCCAACAATTTCCAAGATTCAGACTATATAAACCCTGAAAATCCACCCAAAATGAGAAACATCCCACATTCAACAACACCATGGAGTGGTTCTCAAGCAGAAATATTGTCAGTGAGGTCTGCAAGTGGTTGAGGTCCTGAAATTGCCGGAGAACTGCCTGAAAAAGGCCTGTAAAAGGCCTGAAAATGGTTTGTGAGAACCAGCTACATACCAGCTGCAGTCAGATTGAGTACCATTGGTAGTGGGACTGCAGCTGGTGTGCGTGATTGAGTCTGAAAAAAGGCTGGCAGGCGCCTGTCAGACATCTGCCAGACTGTTCTGCCTTTTAATAAAATCTTTTATAAGGTCAAATTTAATAAAGCTTTAACCTGCTTTAACAGAACTTAACCTCAACTTTGAATCATGACATCACTCAACAAACCAAAGAACCAACCAATTGATCACTCAAAACCATTCTCAATAACTTCAACTTCATCAAATCCATCTCAACTCATCATCATCAACTTCATACAACTATATCATCATCATCAAATCAAATCAAATCAAATCAAATCAAATCAAATCAATCTGATCAATCAAATCAAATCCCAACTTCATTCAAACCATTCAAGAAAACTTATCATCTAAGAACACCCCTTTAAGATCACACAATTGACAGACTTTTCACAAAACACGCTTTTGTATGATATTCACAACCTTTTTTCTCATCATCACTACTTTTGATGTCATCTTTTTCATTGATAGCTACACTTCCTGGAACAGTTTTATATAGTCACTCATCTGGTTGGAGATTTGCTCATTTTTTTGGTTTGTCTTTCAATCTTATCCCAAATGCTTTCTCACCATTTACTCTTGATTGATTTTGCTAACTCTTATCTATCAGTTTGATCATAAGGTGTCAAAGCAGAAGTTGAAGGTATAGCCAAAGCAGATACCATCATAACTGTCAAATTCAATCACACAATTATCTTGCTACAGGTGATAAAGGTGGTAGAGTAGTACTCTTTGAGCATAATGACATAACTGTGCATATTAAATCAAATTCACATCTGTCTCATTGACCACCATGTGTAAGAATTACCTCAGATCCAATCTATGCAATCTGAAAATCATAACATTCTCATTTTTGAAATCTAATTCACTTGATGATAACAATTATGATAAATTGTAAATTAATAATCAGGTGATTTCAAAAGTTAGTCAATTGTTTTTCACTCTTTCAAATCTAGGAAAACCCATTTCAATCACTGAATCTGTTCCTTTTTTGAACTATCATAACAAGAGCTGGTGTAATTCTATTAGGAACATAAATTGATGCAATTTCTATAATGTTAAATTTATCTCTACAATCTATTGATATCAACTCAACCACAAATCAAAATTAATAAGAATGTGAAGAATCAATTGAAAATTGATATTCTAATGGGAAATTTTTCCAACAGAATCAAATCCCTGAATCTCATCATTCAATCTTTTCCACCCAAGATTCATGTTCAAGTTATGATTCCCACATGTTTATTTAGTTTCAACAGAATACAATTTGTATCTTCATACTATATACACATCACACTCATCATTATCACATTTGTATATGCCTGAAAAAATATTTAATGCAATTGATAAATTGATGTCCTTTTGATTCTTTGAATCAGCTGTCTGCTAGCCAAATATTGAGGCTGGCAGCCGTCTCACTGGACTATTTCTTGAGGACTGGTGTTGAGCAGGACCCAGGACCCCAACTGGTGATCAACCCTCAGCATACATTTTGCATTTGACTTGCAGGCAGGCTGCAGGCGGTATTTGAAAGGTGGTTGCAGATAGTGGGACTGGATCCTTTTTGCAGACGGTCAATTGGTGGTATACCCCCAAGCCTGCGACAGTATACCAAAGTCCTATTTTAAAGGGCGGGGCGGTTGATTTGGCCTAGGCGGGTAGCAGGGTCCTGACTAGTCTAGCCCTGGCGGTTAGTTGTTCAGGACTCTCTGCTCGAGAAAGTATATACACAAGTGAGGTCGACGTTCATTTGTCCCTCACTCGTCTTTCTCCTTTGCTTCTACCTGTGCCGCCAAATTATAGGCTCTCTCCTTTATTCTCTAATCGATTCCAAGTTTTAACTCTTTAATACTAGAATCATAGAGAATTTATATTTTTCTTTCAAAACTCCAATTTTTATCTTCAAAAGAATTTTAGAAAGTCTTTCAATCGTGATTTCAATATTTAGATATTCAGTTTTCGGAGAGAATTTCTTCTTTCTTCTTTTTTCCTCTATCGTTGAGTTCTGATCTTATTCTAAGTTTCATAATCTTTTACGCTCGATCAAGTGTATGACGAAACAAGGTTCTTCTAATCTCATAATTAAAAAACGATTAGCAAAAAAGACGAACTCCATCAAGCATCTAGTTTCAAACAAACACTCCGGAACTCAATTAAACGCAGGAAAGAAAGAAGATCAAGCCGCGGCTAGAGCAAAGAGAGCGGCGTCACGGTCAAGAGAAATCACGCCGTCACATTCTCCAAATATGTCCAACTCTTTGGAAGGCCCTTCACTAGAAGGGGCATCGGTTACAACCACTAGTGCACCTCAAGGCAATCCAGAGGAACGACAATTGCTGGATCATCATGATGTAGGAACGACTCAAGAACAAGTAGGGGAACCCTCCTCCCGCAACACCAGATCGATTGGTACGGCGGATAATGCGTCCAGACGCCTGAAGCTAGTCCTAGGGAAGAAAAAGAAACAGACACAAGTTGTCTCTTCGGAAGGCTCCTCGTCTGATGACAGTTCCGAGAGTGAAGCTCTTATTAACAAGGACAAAGGTTAGCGTTGGTGTCAGTTTTTTGTTTTTCTTCAACTTTTTTCATGGGTTAGCGCCACGTGTTCGAATCTACGTCAGTATTTCGATTACACAGGCAGCTTTTGCCACTTAGGACTGCAGGCTGCGTCACGCGCCGCTAGTAAAACTATTATGTTTTGAATCAGTCTGGAAACTCGCTGCTCTACGCGCGTTAACTCTAGGAGACCCCCCCCTTCGTATTACTAGGGGATGGCTGCGTTTCGCGCTAGGAAGATCTCTCCCTGTCCTCCTCATATCATTTCCGCTCGCTAGATTATCCAAAACAAGTTTGGTTTCTCTTGGCTGACTCACCTTTGGCACTTCTGGTTTTTACCATAGTACGTTTTCAATCCAATCCGAAAGGAAAGAAATCGGAAAAACAACTCTTGGTAGACGCAGTTGTAGATGCCATCCAGAACGGATCTACCAAGCAAGTCAAGAAGGTGTCGGCAGAACTTCACGCGAAGTACGGCCAGTCAGGTTCGGGGCCGAAATCTTGGATGAGCAAACCGCCGTCCTCGCCTTCTAGATTCGCTTCCGGGTCGACTGGAACACCACAAGTGACCAACGCCGAACTAGCTGAAGCCTTGCTGGCGGATCAATCCTTCCCCGACTTGGGCACGGCTTCTGGGGGTCAACATCCTAAATCGAAGACGAGCCGTAAACGCAAAGACAAGAAGACGATCTCGGAGCCTCCTTCCTCCGCAGAAATCCAACCCCCCTCAAAGAAAGGGAAGAAGTTTAAAGGAAGGGTGTCAACGATTCAAGAGTTCCCTTCTAGCTCCTTGAGCTCCTCTAGCTCCTCGGATTCATCTCCTCTAGTTCCTCCTCGTCTGACGAGAAATCGGAAGGCAAATCCACTGAATCTTCGTCTGATGAAGATCCAGAGATTAACTTTGAGAATCGCCATCTCAAAGCAGCAGACCTTCTCGATCTCCCTATCAAATGGGACAAGGGCTTTCGTCGACTCAGATCTTATGTCCCTCTGACGGTATTTAAACGTTCTTCCATAAATTATTGGCATACGGTAACCTCTCTGTTACAAACTCCGTCCTCTAGTACCTCTCTTCCGGCTCCGGAAGTTCAGCTTGAAAGGCAAATTAACTTTGGAGACTTTATGGAGATGTGCGACTTGGAGGCTCGGTACGCAAGGGAAGTATATAACCTCAAACCTTACGCGGACTATATCGAGACTCACAAAATAATAGTCACCAGCTTGAAGAGAAAATACAAGTGCTGGATGGTGCGACTTCGTTATCACCTACTGGTCAGAACGGTTATATTTCGCCGCAGGCGAATTATTAAGAAGTCTAAAAGCAAAAGGTCGAAGAAGGATAAGGTCGTCTTACCAGCTGGTCTTCAACCAGACATTGAAGACGCCGCGAGATGGGAGGCTGAGGTGGCGGGGGATCTTCGATTTGAAGACAATCCCTATGCTCCGGGTAACCCAAAGTTCGGTTTCGATTTCTCATCAGGCAGACCTCCGGTGATCAACCCAACCACGTCCATGCCAACTGCACACTCTCAAGTGACCCACCAAACCGCGTCTCCTCATCCGTCGGGCTCTCCTCTGAATGCGGCTCAACGTGGCAAGAGGGGAGGCAAGGGCAGAAGGAACAACTCCAAGTTCCTAGCGCCTGTGCAAGAGGGACAATCTTTTGTTCCTTGGAACAATTCCCAGTCTGGTCATACTACGAGGGTTATCAACCAGTTCCCACATCAGGTAAGATTGCTCGCTTGAAACATAGTGTTTCAGAAATTTTGACTCATGGCTCATTTGGCTTCGTGGTGATTTTTGAAGCCTACTGCTTCGGGGAGTGGTTCGCAACAGACAGCTGAAGGGACTCAAGCTCCAGGTCCAGGCGGTGGTCCCCAGGTCAATAGCAACTATAAGGGGAAAAAACCCTGGAAACCGGCGGGAGAAGTGGCCAAAGATAACACCTTGACTACCAACAGGTGAGGAGCGATTCTGAAGGAATTGAGGATGTCGGGCGGGTTTTGCCCGTCTCCCTCCTCCTCCCCGTCTCTCTTCATCCATACGTTTCTCTCCTTTTATTGTTCCTCTATCTTTCGAAATTTCGATTCATCTTTATGATCCAGGGGGGGTCCAGACCTATGACGGTTTTTTTTCTGACTCCTGTTTTCAAAAAAAAAAAAAAAATTAGTTTCCCTTCTACTCCTCGAGATAATTTTGTATCGGATAGTGTGATTTTGGAGAGCAACGTTGTAGTTCGGTATGCCTGTCTGAATTTGTCTCTATCTAAACAATTTGTTTTCTCATCCTGGGGTTTTCACTCTTCCTTTTCTTGCAATTCATGTCGTTGGCCTGTTGATACTCAAAGCCGAACACGGAGAGAACACAGGATTGATGAAATCATCAATGATTCTATCATAACGAGCGAGTTTCTATTAAGCAACGAGGAGGGCCTCTGGGAGTCTGATTCTGAAACGGATGACGTCGTTCCCATGACTGAGACAGGAAAGAAAAAACGACAAGAACCTCTGCCCCTCTGGGATCGAACATTATTTACTTTTGAAGTTCTGGACCCATGGCCTCGGCCAGTAACCAGTAAGATGATTGTCCATCGATGGGCGTACTTCATGGAAGAAGCTGGCCTGCAGAAAGAGATTCCTTACATCGTCAATGGCTTTCAACAGGGCTTTTGCCTAGGAATCCCTCAACACGAAATTTCAGGACTCCCATGGTACACCCCCGATAATCACAAATCTGCATCGGATGCTAAGTCACAAATTGAAAATACAATAGCCAAGGAGGCTCTTGCAGGCCGACTAGCGGGGCCTTATACTCACAACCAGGTCTATTACAAGTATGGATTCTTTCGATCCAATCCCATGGGGAGTGCTATCAATGGGGATGGGAGCTTGAGATTGATCAATGATCTCTCCTTTCCGAAAAATGACCCTCTGATTCCTTCCGTCAACTCATTCGTCGACAAACGAAATTTTGACACTTACTGGGATGATTTTGACATGGTAGCTGGTTTTTCATGTGAAAACCCAGGAGAATGGGAATTGGCGATCTTCGATTGGAGGAAGGCATACAGACAGTTACCGATTCATCCTTGCCAGAGGAGATTTCTATGCATCAAAGACTTTCGGGGCAGGATCTGGATTGATCTTGCTGTTGGTTTCGGAGGGGTCGCAAGTTGTGGCGTTTTCGGCGCCCCTGCTCACGTCTGGAAGACAATTATTGAAAGACTCCTTAAGATTTGGAAGATTTTTCGTTGGGTAGACGATAATCTTCTCTTTGGGCGTCCAGGCGACAGAGTATCACTCGAAGACGTGACAAATGTCAGCAATGAGCTAGGAGTTGAAACAAACCCAGTCAAGAATTTCGAGTTCGCAACCGAGCAGAGATATGTTGGCTTTATCTGGAACGGTCTGGACCACACAGTACGACTTCCTGAAGACAAGCTTAAAGAGCGTAGACAACAAATCATTGATTTCTTGAGAAAGGATTCGTTGTGGTCTTTTAAGCAAGTCAAAAGTTTTGTGGGCAGGCTAATTCACACAACTTACATCGTACCGCACATGAAGTGCTATACTAGGTCGTTCTACAAGTGGATGAAAACTTGGGTGAACAAGTCGGCTTTACGATGCGTCCCAGACTATGTCTTACCCGACCTTCTGGAATGGAACACTTGTTTAGGAAGCTTCAATTCAAGACCTTTAATTCCTTCAAGGACCCCAATGGATGTTTCATGGGTTGGAGATGCGTCCAATTCAGGAATAGGCGTGTTGGTAGGGGAACACTGGGCGGCTTTTCGCTTGGTAGAGAACTGGAGAACCCTGAACTTATTAGATTCAAAGAGACCCATCGCTTGGGCCGAGACGGTAACAATCCGCCTAGGCCTTCTGGTTTTGGAAAAAGTCATGCCAGTTGCGGGTAAGTTAGCCTCTTTTGAAAAAAAAAAAAAACCCTCGTGTTACACTCTCCAGGAGCTGAGTCCCTTTGGCTGTTTCACAGGCAAACGTTTCATAGTCTTAACCGACAACACGACTTCTCAATCAGCGGTGAGAAAGAGGAAGTCCAGAGACGATTCGGTCAATTCTGAATGGAAGCATATCCAGAAACTTCTAACCCGTCTTTCCTGCGACATAGTAGCACACAGGGTAACCTCAAAAGGGAACCTAGCAGATGAGTTATCAAGGGGTATATTTGGGTCCCTCCTCTGGAGCCACGAAGTAAACGTTTTGATCCCAGAAGACCTCCTTCCTTTCATTACTCAAGTCTCACTGCCTTCAATTTCTTCGCAATGAGCGATTATCGGATTGTTGGTTACTCCAGTCTAGCTCATATGATCTCACCTCCTTCTCAGTCGGATACCAAGAAAGCAGTACAGTTTAAGGCTTTTAGATCTGATGCCTTCGGGAACGACTACGTTGAAGAAAATCCAGTCCAACTCCACCTCCTAAGGGGTGCTTGGGAAAACGGAACCCTAAAATCATACAACTCAGGCATTTTAAAATTATTGCGCTTCGCCAATCTCGCTGGTTTCGACCCTTCCATTTTACTTCCTATTCCTCCTAGAATCTTGAAAGAGTTCCTCGTCTGGGCTTCCATCAAAGATGAGAGATGGATTGCAGAAGATGAATCCGTAAAAACCCAGACTCTTAAATCGTATCTTGCTGGAATCAAGGCCTGGCACATTTTTCATGGAGCCCATTTTCCTACAGACACAGAACCTCACATCAAGGCGATCTTCCGGTCGTCACGGAAACTTGAAGCGAAATATGATGATCGGGACAAGAAACGACCTCCTGTCCTCATCTCGGATCTTCTAGTCCTTTCGAAACATCTTCCGGTTTAAGAAGAGGAGGGTCTAGCACTTATCGCGGTCGCTCTATGCGCTTTCTGGGGAACCACCCGTCTCGGCGAGCTTGTCTCTGACGATTCTCGAAAGTCCGTCCCTAGGTGGCAAGACCTCAAATGGGCAACGGATGGTTCTGATGTCATCATAAACCTACACAAAGCCAAAACCGCCCAACCGGGGGAGGTTCAGCAAGTCCATCTTGATCGACAATACTCTTGCTTGGACCCAGTTTCTGCTTTGAAGGCCCTCTATGACTTCAAACCTCGCAAACCGACTGATTTTGTCTTCAGCGTCTCCAAGAATGGGAAACCGTCCAGGTTGAACAAAACTCAATTTATTAAGAGGTTTAGAGAAATTTGGAACGCGAACCGTCCGAAATCCAAGCAGTTACTCCACGGACATTCCTTCAGAATTGGTGGCGCTTCCCTTAGATGGAACCTTGGAGCTTCAAGAGATGATATCAAACGCTGCGGACGCTGGGCATCCGATGCCTACCGCATTTACCTCAGGAAGTTTTCTGCAAAAGACCTAAAGAAGACAAAGTCCATACTTCGTAGGATTAAGTACTAAAAAAAAAAAAAAAAAAGAAAGGAAATAGTCATTTGTTTTTGCGAGTTATTGGGGAGAGAAGCCCCCTCTCTATATTTCTTTGTTCTCGCCTACTGAGATGGGTTTTCAGGAGTGAAATCTTTTGGTTTCCTCTCCTCCCACACTCAATAGGCCACCCCCACACCACCATCTGTAGTTAGGACATCCACATTTGTAGTAGCTGTTCTATCTAGTTTTGCCGTGGTTACAAAGATTGTAGAGAGCTTAGGCTTTTTCTACCAGCATTTCTTTAGTAGCCATTGATATTATGTACCTAGAAGATGAGACTTAAACCCATCTTCTCCTCCTGAGAGAACCTCGTCCCACCTTTGACAATTGGATTACGAAATTAAAAAAGCACTGTCTGCAGATGGCCTCCGTCCCAGTCTGCAGATGGACCAGACCACTCTGTGGTGTACACCAATTTGCTTTTATTCATCTTCCTAGAACCTTTAAACTTTGATTATCAATTACCAAACTTTAAAGGCCTGATTCTACAAGCCTTGTGTCTTGTTGCTTATTATGTGTGCTCATTCAACTTTGTTCCTGATTAGACTCCATAATCAGTGATTCCTGTAATATCCCTTTGGTGGAATTACTTGTGAGGAAGTAGTCCCTGAGACCATCCGCACTTGGGCGGTAAATCAGGTGTGGTAAGTTTATATTTAACCCAACCACGGGGCCTTTTCCACACTGGTGAATAATTAGCCCCGCGGTAGTTAATTTTCAATCAATTTGTGTTAGCAAATCGGTAAATTTACCAATTGGCCAACGCATGTGTTATCACCACCCACATCACAAATTGTTCATCACAACCTGTTCACAGCAACTTCAACTACATACACCATGTCCTTGTGGCAGTTGCCCGACGACGAGCGCACACGGACTCCCTTTGAGGCACAAAGGCGACTCATGTGCGCTCGTCAACAAGCAAAGACCACACGGGCATGGTGATAAGCAAAACTCAAACCAACCTCCAACACCTCCTTCTCAACTCTCAAACTGGATGAAGCCTAAACCTTGCAGTCACATGAACCAAACCAAGAACAATCAATTTCAATCAACATCTTTTCCATTTTTGATATCTTGTGATTTTTGAATCAAAATAGGTTGATTGAATAACTTCAACTACACTTCAAACAAATCAGATGAAGATGAAGAATATCAGGATTCATACAACTATATAGACATGGCTATATAATAAAATTAAGATCTAAAGACTAATCACTGGAGGACTTAAGACCAAGAGATACAAATCAACAATCAAAAAAAAAGTTTGGATACTTTTAGATTGGTCATTTTTCTTTCCTAGTTTTGAATCTTTAAAATTTCTACAAGATAATATTGTATGTATTCAATAAAGCCTTTGTTTCTTTTAACTCAAAATCTATCCATCAAGTAGATGAACAAAATCATGTTGACTTTGATCTTTTGAATCAAAATCTATTGATCAAGTAGATGGACACAATGAGATTGGTAGATTTGGATCTATGTAGATGGAGAATTTGAAAGTGTCTTCAGTTCTTCAGCGCAAATT